CACTCATTCATTCATTCATTCATTCTATATATGCACATACTGAGGGCCACGGCATGCCCCCGGAACCATGCTGGTAGCAAAAGACAGACACCTGCTCTAGGGAGAAAGTCCCTCTGGAGGAAGACAGAGATGGGCCAGCAAGGACCTCAGGAGAATGTCAAGCTGTCATATAAAAGGGGGGAGGGGAGGCAGGAGTAACTAGCCCCAAATCAAGTACACTTCCATTTACCTCTGCAAGGATTAAAGAATGAGTTGCTTAGCCTTGCCTACAGAGCTAGTTCAAGGCCAGCCTAGACTCTACCTCAAAAGCTTGAAAACAAACATCAACAACCTCCTTAAGATCTCCTGAAGGCACAGGCAGGAGGTAAACTAAACTTGAATACAATTTGGATGCTATATGACACAACAAACAGGCCAATACTATTCATAAATATAAAAAATTAAAAATCTTACAAAAGGGCTATACAACATTATAGTGAGACACCCTGCTGTCCACAGAGTAACAGTGAGACACCTTGCTGTCCATGGAGTAATAGTGAGACACCCTGATGTTCACAAAGTAACAGTGTGACACCCTGCTGTCCATGGAGTACCCGTGAGACACCTTGCTGTCCACGGAGTAATAGTAAGAACCCTGCTGTCCACGGAGTAACAGTGAGACACCCTACTGTACAACAACAGCAGGCAAGTACCAGTCTAGGCCCAGGAACATAACAGGCAAATTAACAGGACCAGAAAGAAAAGCACACACCAAGCAGTGTGTTTATCAGAATACTGGAGGTAGGCATTTCAAAATTCATAAGCACATAGAAAAAAAACTAGAAACATTATTTTACCCTGTGTTTTTTTTTTTTAGAAAAGGAAAAAAGTTATTCAATTAAACTGAAGTAGCAACAGTATCTTCTAAGTCCTTATATTTTCTAAAGCTTTTTCATAGCATCTTATGTTACTTTTTTTGGTTTTTTCAAGACAGGGTTTCTCTGTGTAACAGTCCTGGGACTCACTTTGTAGCTTTTTAGGCTGGCCTCAAACTCACAAAGATCTGCCTACCTCTGTCTCCCGAGTGCTGGGATTAAAGGTGTGTGCCACCACTGCCTGGCTCATTTTACTTTTATTTTGGGCAGGGCTGGGGCTTGAACCCAAGGCATGTTCATGCTAGGTGAGCACTATACCACTGAGACATATCACCAACCTCATAATTTAAAAAAATAATAATTTACTTTATATTCTCTCTCTCTCTTTCTGTGTATATGTGTGTGTGTGTGTGTGTGTGTGTGTGTGTGTGTACAACATCTGGGAGTCAGTTTCTCTTTTCACCATGCAAGTCCCAGAAACTGAACTCAGCTCATCTAGTTTGGAGCAGATGGCCTACTGGGCCATCTCACCAGCCATACCTTGTAGCTTTTCATGGAACTATTCAACTGCAATATTGCTGAATGCTTTCATACCAAACCACCCACCACACAATATCCTGAAGTCCACCTACTACCCCCAAAAGATGAGATTTCCTTTAACAGATCATCATTCTCCAGTGCCTCTAGTAACAAGTAACTGGTCTTCCCCAGTGGGAAGAACTAGGCTGACACAGATCCGTTTTTATAGGCAGTGGTTTTTTACAAGTACTTTTAAGAGGTGATGTTCAAGTCACTGATGTAATACTGTAAAGTAATGCAAGCCATTAGTTTTAAAAGAGGTCCAGGTCTTCCATCTCAGGGCCTGGCTGACTTCCTCAGCTGTGTGATACTAAACAACTGTGATAAGGGTTTTCCCTGTATGAAGCCTCCACAGCAAGGCTGCTGGCAGCTTCTTCCATGACCTATGCCCACCTGTAGTAACAAGCCTTGATTATTAGTGGCATCAAGCTGTTACGAAGTCTTAGTAAAGTGGCTAATTAAAATTAATTTATTATGAAGCCCCTCCTTCGGCTAGCACATTCTGCCCAATTAATGTAAGAACATGGGTTTAAACAGGGTCTCTGGGAAGCTACTGGGCATGGACTCAGCTGAGGGAATGTCAGCCCCGACATAAACTATCTCTCTCTGGACCAGCGTGGAGGTGCAGGAATAAAGACACAACTCATATGGCTTTATTGGGAGGGAGATGTTTACTAATCCCTCATGAAAACCTGAGTTCACATGTTGAAAATTTCTCTCATTTATTCTCCAAGCAGCCTTTATACCAAAACGTAAACTGAGGGGAAAATTCATTAGCATTTTGTTTTCTAGGTAACCAGGCGAATGGCTTTTAGTCACACCGCACCATTGACCACACCTTTCTATGTCTCCCTATCTTCCTGCCCTGTATGCTAGCACTCAGGTAGGCCTGAATTAGCATCTCTATCCCAGGCATCCTCCAAATTACAAAGAAGGAGCAAAACAACATCCTGACCCTTTGCTAGGGTAGCGCCAGCCTGTCTGTGAGGCTACTTGACCACCTCAGGTGGGGCCTATGGCTGGAGAGCCTGGCTGCCATACCATGTAGAAATATGGGGCCTGTATAATATTGCCCCACAATTTACTCTCTTAATAATTTTAAAATAAAAACCTGTGTTTTTGCAACAGGTCATAAGATTACGCCTATCTTGGGCAGAGACTTTTATTATACAGGCCACATATTTCTGGTTACCTAGAAAACAGGATGCTAATAAACTTGCCCCTCAGCTTACATTTTGGTCCAGAGAGATAGCTTATGTTAGGGTTTGGACCCCAACATGGGAAACAGGCATTCTATGCTTCTGCTTTCCCTCCTCCTTCAGGCCTGTACCTGGATCAAATAATAGGTACCCTTCATGACCATCCTGGACCAGAAGGAGACTGAGGCTGGAAGCCAAGTGCTGGGATGATGGCATAAGAAACGGGAGTGTGGACCTCTGAACACACTATGCAGCCGCCCTGAAAGCCTCAGACTTCTTTTCAGAGGTAGATTGAGGGTATCTCTAAGTTGCTGTCACTCTGTCTCTGAGTCCAACTGATACCCAATGACAATTACATGCTAACAAAGGTTATTCTACTCCATACACATCCCACTGCCAGTAAACACCAAATGGCTGAAATATGTGACCAAGATAATAAAACATTTTAATCAGTCACTTTTTTACTAAGACTTCATAACATCTGGATGCCCATGACTACTTTCTCTTTTCCATATAGACAGCCGTATTCTTGACTAGTTCAAACTCAACTGACATATACTTTCTGATACTCTGCCCTCATATGACAGTGACCAAAAATCCAACCTTCCATAACCCCTAATAAAAACAAAACAGAAGAGTGTCCCCAGTTTACAAAACACAAAGAAATCACAATTCCCAAAATGGAAGCAATGGGCAAAGTGGTGGCAGACTACTTCTGAAATGACTTCAATGAGGCTCTTACTGATAAATGCCTTCCCAGGCAAACACTCACCCACAAACTACTGCTCACAAGCAAAATCTACAGCCTATACCAACATTGGCACCAGCGGGGTGGTAGGTAGCACATACATCTTGACAAAGTCCTTTGAGAAGTCCACTCCTTCCCGAAAAGCTCCCCGCTGCAAAGATGGATGGAAGCAGAGCCCCACTTCCTGGAAAAGAGACCTGCAGTCTCCTGCCTTCTTCTACAGCAGCACAACTTGGCAAGGCAACATCTCCTTTACAAAAGCCTTGTTTCCACAACAGTAATCTGGTAGAAGGGAAATTTTCCATGCATAGCACAGATTATGGTCAAAGTTTAAAGTTTTACACTTCCATTACCCTGGCCCAGATTTCTCAATGGGCTAAATTATATAACGTTATTTCACGCTGCCTAGCTCTCTCAGAATAGTAAGGACATAGAGAAAGTTAAAGACAATTCAGCTTCTACCTCACATTTTCTACCAACACATCTGCCTCTGACCCCACCACCAGCAGCCTCTGGGCTGACAGTCAGAAACTCAAAGTCTCAATTCAGTTAATCTATTTAAAGAGCAGAGTTTCAGAGATGGGATGAGAAAACCATAAAATCTCAGCCAAGAGAAAAGAGGAGGTAAGATTTTATCTCATATAATACGAATCTTTCACACCCACCATTAAAGTTATACCTAATGGTTCATATTCTCACAAAGAGGAAGTCTTCTATTACTAAAGGAGCAGAGTACAGACAGAAGGGATAAAGGAAACAAAAATCACTAAGTATAATCTCTCTCTCTCCCCCTCTACACACACAGCACACACACACACACACACACACACGCACGCACGCACACACACCAAACAAACAAACAAAAAGCCAAGTCTGAAGAACCTCTGGGCTCAAAGCACACAGATGCAGAGAAATACCCTCCTCTCAGGGGCAGGCTACTCAGAATAAATGCAATACCATTAATCACACGTATCCTCTCTGCAGTCAGCCTGAACAAGTGAGAGCACCAGGAAAACTATTCCTAGCTGTTCTGCCAGCCCACGTGCAAGACTTAAGTCTCTACCAACTTATCATTTAATTATACCTAACACTGACTTTACAGCCAGTTTATGGAGTCTGTGTATTTAATACACAGTTACTTCCCAGTTCCCTGCAATTACACACTAGTTATGGAATTAATTAATAGCACCCTGGGCTAACAGGAGGTCTAAAACACCACCAGTCAGGTCATGCTCTCCAATTGACACTGCCACCTGCACTGGGTCTCAGTTAAACACACACCTCTTCTTCTGATGGTTCCCTCTCTCCTGTGGCTGAGAAGTGGAGGTAGAAATGCAGACAGGCTAAAAGGGCTTGCCTTTTTTGCTGCTCCAGAAAGGGGAGATCCTCCTTTGGGGGATTACACACACATTTCCCACAAATAGGAAAAGAAATCTATTTCTGCGTCTATCAATCCAAACACTGACAACGCTCCCTGCTAATTATCAGTTCACAAAGCCCTCAGGTGCCCCATTCCTCTCTCCCCACACTGCCACTCCATGAAACCCACATTTACTAAAGCCACAGAGCATGGGGGTGGCTGCTCTCCACACCCAACCCAACCCAGCTCCCCATACTCACTGTTGCTGGACTTAAGGTCTCGGTGGATGATGGGGACAATTGCCTCATCGTGCAGGTAGTTCATCCCTCTAGCAATCTGTACAGCCCAGTTCACCAGGATATCTGGGGGAATCCTCTTCCCAGACAGCACTCTGTTCAAAGGCCCTCCACGAGCAAACTCCATGACCAAGCAGAGGTTGGGTTCCTTCAAGCACACCCCTCTGAGGGCGATGATGTTCGGGTGCTTCAGCATGGCAAAGAGCTTGGCCTCTTGGCGAACATTCTCTATGGTCTGGCTGATGTCCTCATCGGGGTCATGGCGAGCTGCTTTCACAGCGACCTCGTCGCCTACCCAGAAAGCGCGGTAAACTTTCCCAAAGCCCCCAATGCCGATGATCTCCTCCAGGGTTAGCTCCGCAAAATCAATCTCTAACACTGAGAAAGAAGAAAACAGGAAGTCAACCATATCCTTTGAACCATACTTCCACTGGATAGGCAAACACAGCCACAGTAGGAAAGCGGGGCCTCCCTGTCTCCCCACTGTAAACTACATAAGCAGTGGAGATTGTGGTTAATATGTGCATTATTCTTAGTGACTACCAAATAGCAGACATCTGATAGGTGTTTACTGTAACGTAAATCCTACTTGGAGAATCAGGAGACTCTTGTACCAAGACCACCCCACTTTAACTCAAGGGAATACTGGGGTGACCTATCTTGAAAATTGCTTAGGTTCACTTGTTCTTGGTGGTGGGAGGCACACAACCCAGGGCTAAGCAGACACACAGTAGCTACAGTTTAGTTTGTAAACAGCGTTTGGAGAAACAGGATCACCAGATAAAGAAGGGCACTAACTAACTCCCACAGCAGGATGGGGGCAGGGGTGAACGGAAAAGGGACATGTGAAGAAAGACCTAGAGGAAGAGTAGAGAGGGACTCTCATCACATCACAGACGGGGCAAAGGACAGTCTAGGCAGAGAGGAGGACATGGTGACATAGAGGCACGGGACACCTGGAGGACATTAGGGAAGCCGCGGTGTCTAGACTGTTGTACTGGGATAAGAGGTAAGACTTAAGCCTTGTTGGGAGTAACCAGATGGCAAGAAACTTTCGAGCAATTCTGAAGGGCTTAAAAGGACTCATGTACCCTTAAGAAAGGGAATTCTGTGGCTTAGAAAGGATACCATCTCTGACAGCAATGAACAACATAATGGGAAAGGAAGTCTGGAGCAAAGAGCCACTAAAGGACCAGAGTGCAGCTCAGTGGGTAGAACCTGACATGCATGAAACTCAGGGTTTAATCCACAGCACTGCATAAAACAGTGTGGTGGAGCAGGCCAACAACCCTGCACTCAGGAGATAGAGACAGGAGGATCAGGAGTTCAAGGTCAACCTAAGCTCCTAGTGTGTTTGAGGTGAGCCTGCTCTAAACCCTGTCTTGAAAGGAAGAACCACTAAGGAGGGCCCTGGCAGTGAGTGATGCAGACCTGCTGAGCCTCAGAGGTACTGAACACGGAAGAACTGAGTCCACGTGAAAGACTTCCAGGACTTGGTTCTATCGGGATCTGGTTCCTGAGACGTCCAGGAAAGGAGCCTCGTGGAAAATATCTCACTCCAGCAGACCTCAGAGCCTCAGGCCCATCCTCGACAGTCACTTCAACCATTCATTGTGCTTCCAAGATCTAGAATTTGAGCCTAAGGAATCTGATTAATTATATCTTAGGCACCAGTCAGAAAAGACAGATAACAGTGGCCACCAGTGATTATAAATGTTGGGCTAGATAGAATATTAAAAACTAACTGAGCAGGAGAGAAGGGAGAGGAGATTGGTTGGTATGTAAAGTAAATGAGAAAAAATGTTATTTAAATAAAAAAAATTTAAAAATGCAAAAAAAAAGAACGAGCATACTACTGTTTCACGTCTCTCCTGAAACCTGTTCTCTGTTCTCTTTAGATTCACCCTCACATTTGAACTGAAACATCCATTTCACAGAGAAACCTTAAGACCAAATGAGGGCAAGTTCCCACTAAACACCTTTGCAGCATACTCCATTCCACAAGACTCATCAAGAGTGTGGCTACACGTCTTATTTGATAAGTTAAATAGGCACCTTCGTGGCTTGTCCCAGGGGTGTTTGTTTGTTTGTTTGTTTTGGGTTTTTGATTTTGTTTTGTTTGTTTTTCGAGACAGGATTTCTCTGCCTAACAGCCCTGGCCTCAAACTCACAGAAATTCACAAGTGTCTGCTTCCCAAGTCCTGGAACTAAAAGCGTGTGCCACCATTGCCCAAATGTCCCAGGATTTTAACAGTAGCTAATATTATAACATTCGGCAAATTGAATATGTTATTGATCAAATCCTTATATGTCATTAAGGAAATAAAAATTTTGCCAGATAAAATATGATTTTTTTGTCAGGCATGATAGTATATACCTCAGATCTCTGTGAATTTGAGGCTAGCCTGTCCTACAAAGTAAGTTCCAAGCCAGCCAGGGTTGCATAGTGCTACAAAGTGAGACTCTGTCAAAAAAACAATAATAATAAAAGTATATATTATAAAAAAAAAAAGAGTGTGGCCACTTAATTACCTGTCCACTCTTCTCACTGTGACACAATGACAGCCACAGGGCAGAGAGTCTGCCTGCCACCACTGTGTGCTTCGTGACAAATATTTAGTGGGTGACCAGCAAACAAATTTAGATCTGTTTAAAAGGGGTAGAAAAGGGGTGGGCAGGGTTTCTGGGAGAATAACCACACTCCACCAAAATAAACAAGCAGACAGACAGATAAACCAAGTAACAAACAAACCCAAGAAGACAAAGATGTATTTCTATAGTTCGGCAAGAGCAAACTGGATGGCTGTTCTCCCTGATGTGGCCTGCCCCATCACACTCCACTGCTCATTTGGAAGCTGATGAGGCTCAAATTTTTGTTCTTACTTAATCCTAATTCTTCTCATTTTCTCTCTACTTGTATTTTGCAAAGCAGCTGTCAATCTGCACAAAGGAAACTCTCAGGAGAAGCCAGATGAATGGTCTTTACATACTCATGAAGCAGAGTCTATCTGGACCCTCAAAGTTCCATAAGGCTAACTTAACCCCTTGGGGATGCAACGGAGTTCCCTGGGAAAGTCCACTCTTAGCATTTGTATAGTCCTGGGTTTAGTCCCTGATACCACGAAATAAAGAAAAGAGGGGAAAGCTATTGCCTCTTGGGGTATGGGGGGTCCCCCTGAAGAATAAATGACATGGCAGAAGCTAGCAATTGACACCCATCCCAATATCCTTCCAGCACCTGACCCTCTTAGTATCAGAGGCTAAAAAGCTAAAAAAAACTACAAATCCCAGGATCCCTTATGGCAAAGGTACTGGATGTGAATTAAGGGACACACAAGATTGGCAAAGCCTAGAGGTGGAGACCATCTTCTGGCTGCCTCTCCTGGCAGGTATGGCTGTCTGCAGCAGCATGCCGGTGTCCAGTCACTAGCTCTACAGCTGTGCAAATGAATGTTCCCTAGTGAAGTGGCTGCCGAGTCTCCAGGCTGCAGATACAACAGGATATCCCGAAAGCTGCCATCTCCAACAGCAGCTTCAAATGCTAAATTTCATCGGTGAAAACAGTGCCAACTTGCTTGCTGGGTCAGCTCTGCATCGCCCAGAATGCTCCCCTTAAGAGCGGCTTCTCCAAGCCCTCCCAAGAATTCTCTAAGCACCCAATTTCCTGTGCTGAATCTATTTCTTGCTTAAAATAGCTTCTGTTTCTGAGTCCTAAAAATGAATCCTGACTAATTACTAACTTTTGCCTGATGTCATTCACATGAATGAGAAAACATGCCAACATTAAAGAGAGATTTAGAAACCCCTTTGAAAGATATGTGTCTACTTGGTCTTTGGCAGCAAGGAATATTCTTTTTATTTTTTTTTTTTCTACCAGTCCTTACTCTAGTGAAAAACTCTGTGCCTCATCAATGAACTGTATTGATCGCCTTATTTCTTCAACCAAGTCTTTGAACTAATAAACTATACTATTTCCCTTATGTGCACACTGTTTCTGGGCTCTGAAGCATACTTGTCAACACACAGTAGGTGCTCAATGTTTACCAGAGGGTGCAAAAGATGGGACTCTGGTCTTGGGTGCTGAAAGGACAGCTCCTCCAGCAGCAGTGCCCACAAAGGCTAGCGGGGAAGCAGTGACCTCTCTCGGGCCGAAGCTAGGACCTCAGCTTTTCCCTACTAAGTCAAGAGACATAAGAAAGCCAGCCTGTAAGAAAAGTATAGAAGATAACAAAGGGCTGTCTTCTTCTTTCCCTGCAGAGAAGTCCCTTCCAATGGGCTTCCAGGGACAGATCTTCAGCTGCAGAGAATTTGTGGGCTCTCCTTCCCTTCTCTGCTCCAGCCAAGACCTGGTTTTAAGCAAGAATCAGGTCAACTTGCCTTCAGCACACTTTTTTTTTAAATTTTCTGTGGGAGGCTATTTCTAGGAATATCAACAGAACCCTATTTCATGTTGGAGTCAGGATGTTATTTCCTCTAGATTGTATTCTTGGAGACCGACTGAACCAGTCAAACTACCTCGTGGGCTTGGGGGGCGAGGGAATAGTATATTTTGTTAATTTTAAATTCTTCTACACAGAGCCAGGTGTGTAATACATAGCTGTAATCCCAGCACTCAGGAAGTAGATGCAGGAGGACCATAAGTTCAAGGACAGCTTGAGCTACATAGCGAGATCCTGTTTCAAAAAGGAAAGTTAAAATCTGCTAGGGCAGGGGACAGAAAGGTGAGGCTTGCTAGGACTTATGGCCGCCAGTCTAGTTGAAAATGCTCCAGGTTCAGTAAGAGACAGTCTCAAGGCAGTCATCTTTAGAGGACTCCCAGCATCCTCCATTCACGGGTACAAGTGTGCATGGGTACATGTATCTGCACAAACACATGTACACACACACACACACACACACACACACACAAATCTTAAGCTTATCTAAAAATCCATCCTTACATTGGTACTGAATTCAGGGAAAACAACCGGAACTTAACAAACAGTGCTCTCAGTGCCGCGCTGCAAACAGCCTGACAGCACCGTAAAGAAACATTTCAATAGTTATGCATCTCCCAGGTGACCAACTGCAGCTTACATGTTTCACCTATTACAAAACAGAGGATGAGAGATCTCCGGGGTTATATAGATTTGTCATCCATGGAGAGCCAAGCCCTGGTACCTACAGTGGCAGGATAAAAGCAGAATATAAAATGGCTTATACTATCACTAGCATATTTTTCTTTGATAAAAGATTAATTTCTCCTTCTGTATTGAATAAAGCTTGAAGCAAAACTTTCACTTGAAAACAACACTGTAAAACTAAAGCTGGCTCTCACTGCTTGACTGGACATAGGTATTCCATTCGCAATCCTGAACATATCACATGCTATATGCCCCAGAGGGGAAGTTTAAATGGGTAACTCTGGGGAAGAATCATCATTGGCTTTACTATTCCAAGTCCTGGGGGACAGGCTTTGTCAATCATCTTTGTTTTCTGAGTGACACTAACTCAACTTGTGGACAGGGCTCCCAGGCGAGACATTCTGATCTTTTCAAAGCACTGACCGAAATTTCACATTCACTTCGCAGTCTACCTGGTGTGCTCAGGAGCGCCTCCTCCATCCTTCCATCCCTCGACTCTTAACATAGTAGCCCCCACTCTCCACGCACTCAAGAACGAGCTTTCGACGGGAGCTTTGTGAACTGTCAAGAATACTTCAAGGCCAAGCTAGAGCACTTGCCACAACTTTCAATGCCAATCTCCTCAAATATATCTTTCCCCAAGCACAGGGTCCTCCCATCTGGGTTCCAGACTTAGGAATCTACTCTATCCAAGGTACCGTCTATTCCAATAAGGTGAATCCTGACCACATTCCAGGGAATCGTCTCTGAATGCAGCAAGCTGTTGACATGTCTGTCACTCAGTGGAAAGGTTCTTTTAACCCAAGTCATATTGGCTCCTGACTGCTGTGACACCCAGGAGCAAAGCTGTTGAGGAACCTGAGCGGCTGCTTGTGAACCTCACATAACTTGTACACTCTCACGTTAGCTGTCCCTAAAAACAATGTCACAGAACTCCACCCACAATGAGCCTCAAAACCTCAAAACCTCTTTCAATGTGTGGCCAAGTTTGTCTCCAACAGTAATTCCAAACACCTTTGGTTGGTCTTTGTCTCACCACTATTACCAAATATGCCAGAAATACCTAGCAACCAGAAACATTCTAATTTGACTTGCCATTTCTAGGCATTGTACATTTCAAAATGTATAAACAAGAAACTTGGAATGAAAGGGGGGGACAGATCTAAGGAGAACTAGAGAGCTAAACAATTCGACAGTCAAAGGGCCAAAAGGAAAGGAGAAAAAAGCTGCAATTATATTTAAAACTCATCTTAATGCAATTGTTCCTGTAAAAATAACAGAAAGAGTAACTACTGCAGGTGAAAAATTTAAAACTAAGTATCAAAGTTAGCCCTTTGTAGTGACAAAAAAAAAAAAAAAGGTGGATGCAAAGTACATAAAACAAGGAACTAACTACTAAGTATGTAGTAAGAACATCTTCTAATTGGAACTGTGGAAACTTTCAAATACTATAAACTGCACTTAAGAGAGATTCACTTCTTCTAAAATAACCAAGTATATATAAGTGATTAAGGAATTACAATGGCAATTTAACTCCTTTGAAAAATAGCAAAGGAAATTTCGTAAGGGGCATGGAACAGGGGTCCCTGGGAAACTGATGAAAACCAGGACACAGGAAGAAAGGCCCTGGGAGGGAACTCTGGGCCCTTCCCGCCACCCCCCTCCCGAGATTTAGCCAATTCCAAATATAGGCAAGGATCTTGGGTGAAAAAAATATGTGTTCCTGAACGGTATGGCTGTAAGGTACAGGAACTTGGGCACTGTTCCTGGTGATCCTGAACTCCCACGAGAAAGACTTACTTTCTCTCTCTAATTATTTCTCCACTCATGGCTTTGCGCCCCCCCACACACACATACACACCTTTCCTAACATATTATTTGGTGAGACTTCTCAAGGAACAACTTTGAGATACAGTACGAGAACCCAAGAAACCAACACGAGATTTCAAAGGCACCTGACTCTTGAGTTCCTTCTTTCTTGCTTCCGGGACTTGTGAGCCTGCCCAGGCAGGCGGTAGACACCTCCACTGCTCTCAGGACAAATACCTTTAAGAGGCGGGGACAAGCGACAGAAGAGGTCCGCCAGGTCGTTGGTTGGGGGACTAAGGTTACTGGTGACATTAGTAACCACCGGCACTCCAGAAACCCTTCCAGATCTGGAGGGGCACAAGGAGGGGGGAAGGGATTGGGGTTTCAGGAGTTGCTACTAGAGCGAGTCAGGTGAAGGTGAAGAAGTTCCAGGCAGGGCCTGCGGCTCTGGAGCTTCTCAGTGGCACCAGCTAAAACCCCTGCAGCCCTCACACCCACCCGCGCCCCGGCCAATCGCTCCCCACCTCTGACCTCTCTTCGCCCATCCCAGGCCTCACCCTCCCCTCCCCTCCCCACCGGGCTTCGGTGCCGCCTTCTCCTTACGCTGAATGGGCGGGTAGCAACTGGGGTCCTCGGCGCCGGGCTGGCAGCGGCTGGAGAAGGCGCTGCGCGGGGTCACGTAGTTGCTGGGGAAGATGCCCACCCGCTGGTTCAGCTGTCCGGTCCACCAGCCCTCGTCGCCGGACACCTGCGAGTCCTTGGACAGCACCTCTACCACATCGCCTAGCCGCAGGGTCAGCTCGTCCTCGCCCGCCGCCTCGTACTCGAATACAGCCGTCCAGTAGGGCAGCGCGGCGTGGGAGCCCAGCTCGGCGGCCGCCGCCTCCTCCTCGTCCTCCTCCTCCTCGGCTCCGGTGCCCGTGGCATCCTCCCCCGGCGGGGCAGCAGCGGCGCTCGCCAGGCAGCCGAGAAGCGATCTGGAGGACTCCATAGAGCGGCCGGTCCATAGGGTGCGGGGCGGCCGCCCGCAGGAGCCGCCGCCGCCTATTGTTCATGCGGCTCGGCAGCGCTGGGGGCTCCGCGCCCCCGACGGCCGCCGCAGGTAGGGCCCGGGCAGGCGGGGTGCGCGAGAGCCGCGGACGCCCGGTGTGCACCCGCGAGCGCGCACCGCGGACAGGGGAGCGGCGCAGTGCCCGCCGCCTGGCGCCCGCGCGGGCGGCCTCGCCCCTCCGCGGCTCCCACCTGCTTGTGCCGCCGGTGCCCGCCGCCCGCTGGCCGCTCCCTCCCCGCCCCGCCCCGCGCGCCCCGCCTCCCCGCACGCCCGGGACCACCTGACGCGAGCCTGGCTCCGCCCCAACCCTGCGGACCCGGGGGCGGGGCCTCCGAGCCGGGCCCGCCCCCTTCGCCAGTTCGTCCTCCCATTGGCCCGCCGCTGCTGTCCGTTTCCTGGGAGAGGCTGAGGCCTCATTGGGTGGCTCCCAAAGGTGAGGCAGAACGTGCGCTCGGACTGTGGAGCGGGCTACGGAGCCTGCCGTCTTTGTCTGCACGCCTAGCCCTACGGGCTGCGCCAGTTCCAGGTTCAGATGGCCAAGGTCTTGGAGCTGCTTCTGCCCTGGCCGGCCCTGGGGACCAGCTTCCGTCCTCTCCCGCCTCCATGCACACACTCACGCCCCGGAACCTTATGGCACGCGATGGGAGGACTCTTCGGTTCGCGCTGCTGGCCTTGCTGAAGACTGCGCACGTCTCTGTGAGAAGAAGTTAGAATTCCGAAAGGTCACCTAGGGGGGCTACCGCAGGCTGGGGAAGTCGTGCGGAACCAACTGGTACGCGCTTGCCTTGTGGAGCTGGCTGTTTCTAGGACCCTGGTGACGGTTACGTAGATCACACCAAGGGCTAAAGCAGAGTCTTGGGCAAGGGCCGACCTATACTATGTCCTTTTGTTACTCATCTTCCGTGCTTTCAACTTCCCTATTTCAAAACAAGCCTGTACAGACGAATCCAGCCTGGTATCTACTAAACTGTTTTACCTTTTCCAAGGCAGGAATAGATGTGATTTATTTAGCAAGAGTTAGTTCTTCACTGTGTGTTTGTGTTTTTGAGACAAGGTCTCACTTATGTAGCCCAGGCTGGCCTCACACTCACCATCTTGCTGCCTCATCTGCCTTAGTACTAGGATTGCAGGCATGTGCCTCCGTGTCCAGCCAGACGATTACTTTGTTTTAATGTTAGTTTGAGGTTTATTATTAGGCAAACGAGCAATTTGGAAAAATAGCCTGGCAGCTTACATGACTTTGGGCAGTTGTTAAACACTGCCTGAAGTGAGGAGCGGAGGGATAGGCCTTCTGTGTTCTAAGTTGAACATCAGGTAGTTTTGCTGGTGACTGTGGGTAAAAAGTTTCTGTACCCAGATGAGCTTCTCCGCTGACACAACAATCCAAATCAGACCAAATCAAACCGAATTAGAAAAAAGCCCAGGTTTAAAGGATACAAACGCCCCCCAGAGAGAACATAGAAAAGGAAGACCGAAAACTACGTATTTGTTTTCTAGGGGCAGTTTAAGATGCAGCAGGTTTGGAGAGAGGTGGGGGGAGGGCCTTGGGGGCGAACTTCCACCCAAACATTACAGACTCTTTGAGTAGGGGGGCCGGGCTCTGGTGAAGCTCCCACCAGAACAGTGACTACACTGTAAATGTAGACTCTGCACATTTAAGGTCTTAGGAAAGAGGTGAGATGGTACTGTCCAAAAGAGCATCCAGGAGGTCCCAAAGATGGAGTCCCAGAAGTAAATTCCCTAATATGTTCAAGTTGATACTCAAGGAAGGGTCAATAAACTGGAAAATATGTGGATGAGTCTGGGTAGATTCTCTGATGTTAAGGTGAAACCACTCACCTGCAAAAAGGGGGGGGGGAGAAAAATATTAATTTTTTCCATATGTGTGAAAATGGAGCTTTACAAAGTAAATGAAAGAACAGAAAGAATGCACTAGAGGGGCTGGAGAGATGGCTCATTGGTCAAGAGCGTTGGCTGCTCTTTCCAAAGACCCAGGTTGCATCCCCATGGCAGCGCACAAACATCTGTAACTCCAGCATCAGGGGAACTGACGCTCTGCTGGTCTCCATGGGCACCAGGAATGCACACGGAGCATGTGCATACACACATACGGACAACACACTCGCACACATAGAACTTTTGTTTGGTTTTGGTTTTGGTTTCCAAGACTGTTTTCACGGTAGCTTCAGCCACTGTGGAACTCACTTTGTAGGCTGGCCTCAGACTCACAGAGATCCGCCTGCCTCTGCCTCCTGAGTGCTGGGATTAAAGACATGTGCCTCCACACCTGGCTTTTTGTTTTTAAGAATATTTTTAAAAAGAAAGAAAAAATGTTAGCTGTGTGTCTTCAAGCAGTAGGATTATGAGTAATTGGGACTTTTAATTGTCATTTTGTTCCTCTACTTATGCACGCTCTTTTCCAAGAAAGCAGATGAGAACAATCCTCGCTCCCAGAAGAATAAGGAAGCTAACTCCCGGCACAATTTAAATGTTTAACACAAGTGCTTAAGATCCCGTGAAGAGCCGCTCACCAAACATTCCAACAAGTCACCTGTGAATATTTGTTGAATGGATAAGTGCTAGGAATTCAAACCAGGGGAGATTCTTTAGACCAGAGCTGCCTGGCAGAGATTAATGGTAGGAGCAGAAACAGAACTGGTCCCAGAGAGGCGTAGGGTGGAGCAGGAGAGGGGGAAGGGATGGAGAGAGGTGGGAAATCGTGGGACAGTGAGCCCATGGCGATGGCATGAAAGGATAAGAAAGAACGCTCGAAACCTGACACAGGATTGCAGAGGGCTTTGTCATTATTTGATTCATATTAATAATTATTTAATTGATCATTTGAAATTATTTAATGACGAAGGTGTTTGCCATCAGGGACAGGAACCGGTCCGACTTGTTCCTTACAGCTCTCTGGCATCTCAGAATACCTGGTTCGCAGCTAGTCGCCTATCTGGACGCAGTCACACCTGATGGCTGACTTGGCTACACGCCTAGGAAGTCTGGGTTTTGTTTAGCAAACCAGGGTTATCACAGGGTCAAGGAAATGGTCCAGTGGGTAGGAATGCTTGCTCCACAAGCAATCCCTCGCGAAAAAGCTAGATTGGGTTGTGTGTGGCCGAAACCCCAGCACTGGAGAACAGACAGGCAAATGGCGGAACTGAACCACTAGGAGGTTTAGAGCAGGTCTTTGGGGTAAAATGACAGATTATTGGCACCCTTAGGTTCCTCAGCCTGGAACTGACGAATGTCACCCAGAAAAGCAACCTCTTCTCCACCACACTGGAACGACTAGAACCAAGCAGGGAGTGACCACTCAGCACTAGGCAGATCGGATCGCGGGATATCCTGACTGTATCCTGAGAAGCATCTGACTTTGTACAAGACAAGATTTATTGTTGTTTTTATTAATTTTATTAATTGTGTATAATTATACACAATATCTTTCATTATGATACTTTCATACTTGTATATTTTTTTTCATCTTCCATCCCCCATTACTCTCTCTTGTTCCCTTCCCACTCCTAACTGGTCTTTGCCTACATTCATGTTTGTGAGTTGTGTGTGTGTGTGTGTGTGTGTGTGTGTGTGTGTGAGATCTCACTGAACCTCGTTAGAGTTGCTTACGGGATCATGGGCACCTTTCTCCTGGCTACCTCACTGAAGAAAATGGCAAGACAAATTTTTGAAGCTGTTTCCTCATTTATGTAGTAGTGGAACATGCTTTTTATGGATGTTGTAGGGTTAAACAAGACACGATGCCCAAAGCGTGCTATTTAGCACCCAGTGGCCATATTTCTTTTTCTCGGTTTCCACCTTTAGCAGCACCTTAGAATGTAGTGGGTGTTGACTGGAGCTAACCTAGAGTTGGTCTCAAAAAGATTAAAATTAAATTAAAAGTAAAAAATAAGGAAGGCAGGAAAAAGGAAAGAGATGAAGAGAAAGAGGGAGAGAGTAAGGGAGGAAAGGGGGACCAATAAGAGAATGAGGCCTTGAATTTGAATTCTGGTTGATGCTTATAGGCAAGTTAACCTGTATCCCAGATCCCTCCTGTGAAAATCAAGGCTGTACCTCTGGCCTCCCAGACGGAGTAAGGGACGTGATGCATGGTTTATACTTTGCGCAGTCTAGTACCTAATTATCACCATTCATCCTAAAATTCAGCTTAGCAAGTGAATGCCACCTCCCCTTAGTTCTTTTAGGAAACATCTTATTGTAATTTATATTGGCATATATTCATGGTTCATAGTGGTGGGCTTCATAATGTCTGTATTCGAGTGTAACGTCTACTTTTAACCACATCCATCCCCACCATCTCTTCTCTTCAGTCTTCGCTCCTCTCTAGTTTTTCTCCCCCAATCCCCCTTCTGCCTTCATGTCATATGTGTGTGTTTAAATGTATATGTTACCACACATAGCTTCATGACATAGCTATATAAAATGTAATCTCCACAAATTAAAAAAAAACATGTCTATATTTGTTTAAGCTTTTCAGCAAATGATGTAAATTTTTAGAGGTATTTACTATCGTGTGTGTGTGTGTGTGTGTGTGTGTGTGTGTGTGTGCACGTGGAGGTCGGAGGACAATTTCATGAAACCTGTTTTCCACCTTTATGTGGGTTTAGATTTGCATGACAAATGCCTTTGCCTACTGAACGATCTCTGTAGCCCTAAAAATGACCTACTTTTGTTTATGGTCAAATTGAACTCTGTTGTGTGCATAGTCAACACTTTGTCCATTCCCCTGTTGATGGACAGGTAGCTGACTTATAATCAGCTCCAGTGAATAACGCTGCCATAAACGGGCTGTGCAAGCTGCCTGGGCTGTGTCTTAGCTCTGCTTTCAGTTTCCCGAGGAAGCTGCAAGCTGACTGTCACAGGCTCTGAGCTGATTTACATCCCACTCGCAGCGTGTGCTGGGGGAACGTTCATCTTAAATGAGTCCTTCGGTTCTTAAATCCCTCAAGCGGACACTGATCATTTCTAACACAGTCAACAGCGCATCCCTCCCTCCCCACACGTCGTCACCCCAGGGAAGGAGCGCCCAGCTCTGAATTCAGAAACTCTGCTCCTGTGGACCGCGACCGGAAGCACATGTTTTGGGAGAGTGCGGCAGGGCGATGAAACAGAAGTTTGGGGACACACGGACACCACTGGCTCAGATTCCTGGCTGAGGAGGGATGGGTCCAGTGAGGTACTTC